TGAAATAATTCAGTTTACAACAGTACAGTATCGTTGATCAGGACAATTTAAGTAGTATGAAACTCCTGCATTATGCATGTAAATTGTTCTAATTTAGTATGCAAAATGCGTTGATTACACAAGTTCGTGATGTGAAATCACCGTAGTATTTACATTTTCGACGATCATAATGTTTTTATGCACACATCAATGTTCAAGTACTATTGTGTCTTTTCATTGAAACTTGCCATATTATCAAGACAGGCTCCAAATGCTCTGGTACGGCTGTCGGTGGAACGAGTCAAATATCCCTCTCTAAATGCTCTCACATGGCCACGCGTCTACAACCACTGTCAGGGAAGTATTACTCACTGCCTTCTCGAGGCATTACTGTTGTTTACGAAATTGAGAGACGAAAATCGAGTGTCCGACGCTTTAACCGTGTAGGTGGATATGGAGGATCTGTCTAGGAGAGATGAGAAACCCTGATTCCAAACCAATGGTGCACATTAGTTCCAGTATCTTGAAGGAACAAATGGCGTATGAACCAATTGTTGGTGACCGGCTACCATGGGATCGCATCTCCTGACTTTGCTCCGCTTCCTTGTGGATCAGACCTTTAGGTCGAAGGCTCCGGGATATGCTCCCCTAAGAAAACTACCTGCTTCGGTCTGGGCACCCGAGTAGCATCGTAGCCCACAAACAAATCAAGTGATATGTGTGGCGCATATGTATTCGGTAGTCCTTTGTATCAACATTCATGTGTTCAAATAAAGAAATATAGATCTTATTGATCAGTCAGTTCATCATAAATTGTTCCAATTGCTTGAAGAATTCCTCAAGGATTCTTTCTTCAATCATTTGTTTTGAAGCCATTAATTCACTCATTAAAAAAGTATAGTGTTGTACAAATAATAAAAATATTGTCTCAGGAATTAAAAGTAACTTACCTTTAAGAATATTTCAAAAATATTAGACGAACTTCTAGACTGGTAGCTATTCACCATAATGACATCTACTCTTCCGTCAAATTATATTCACAAACAAACAATCTTCTTTCTATTTTCATACATTTTAACTTAATTCAAGTCACATACATATTATGTGACATTCTGAAAGTAGATGTTTCTTTACAAACTAATGTCAGGTAGAAAACCTCTCAACAGTGCACATTCATAGCACTATAAAAACATTCATACCTCAAGAATGTTACAGTCAATCAGCTACAACGTAGGATCAGGCACATATATGTATCGATTCAAGTTGCCACACTTCATTAGCTGCCTTAACGTGGTGGTCGGGCTTGCCTATCATGAAGAGCCAATCCAGCTATACTGGCTGGAACAATCGTTCCTCAAGGTCCCACCATGCCAGACAGGTTGATCGAAGCAGCAAACCCAAGGTTCGAAGGCGAAGTCGTACTGCTGACCGTACAGAAGTGTGACAGCAGTAAGGTGTTTCCTTCAGACAGACAGCATAACAGAGAGGCTACCTTCTCACAAGGAGGGATGGGGTTAGGAAAGGTCGACCCTAAAAATCCACATCTCACCATTTCGTTCTAGTATGAAACTCATCAGCAGTGCATATCCACGATTTCAACTTCGCAAGATTTGAACCTACATAGCTCAAACACATCAAATTCTTAATCATATAACGTCTATTATTTTGTCAAGTTAACATGCTTGGTTTCTAAATGAGAGAAAAGAATACTAAGAATGACAACGATCCATTTTTATCATCAGTTAATTCTACGTGCATTAGAATATGCAAACACTCAACCTTCAAAGTGTATTTCAACTGATAGTATATAGAATTGGTTACTTATCTTTGAGGTCAGAGAGTGTGAATGGAACATTGAAGTAGGTCCCCCAACTCTAGCAGAAGTTCAAAAGGCTATAGTTAATCTGAAACGAGGAAGGGCAGCTGGTCCAGATGGACTGGCTCCAGAGGTCTTTAAGGATGGTGGTCCAATTTTAGCGATTAGGTTGACTAATATTTTAGCTAAGATCTGGGAGTTAGACGTTATCCCATCTAACTGGTCACAATCACTTATCGTCCCAATATATAAGAAAGGGTCAAAATCATCCTGTGACAACCACAGAGGGATTAGTTTAACTAATGTAATATCTAAAATACTAGCCTCGATAATTATCAGACGCCTAACTAAGACTCGTGAACTGCAAACACGAGAGAACCAAGCTGGCTTTAGACCTGGTCGTGGCTGCATCGACCACATATTCACCATTCGTCAGATTCTAGAACACAGGCATACTTATCGGCGTCCGACAATGGTGGTCTTTCTCGACTTAAAAGCAGCATTTGACTCTGTAGACCGCGAGATTCTGTGGCAGTGTCTGTCATTGAAAGGCGTACCCAGAAGTACATAAACCTTGTGAAGGCTCTTTACTCGAACACTACTAGTCGAGTCAGGGCTTATGGCGAACTGTCATCTACTTTTGCAACCTCAAGTGGTGTCCGTCAAGGCTGTCCACTTTCTCCATTTTTGTTTAACTTCATCATAGATCTACTGATGGAAATAACACTCTCGTCGACTGAGTTCTCGGGTATTGATCTCCATCCAGGAGGTCCACTTATCGACTTAGAATACGCAGATGACATAGTCCTGTTTGGTGAAGACGCTGACAAAATGCAGAGTCTTTGGTAGCACTAAGCAACAATGCCAGAATGTTTGGAATGCGCTTCTCTCCCTCTAAATGCAAGTTGTTGCTTCAGGACTGGTCTGCGTCAACACCTGAACTAAGGATAGGGAGTGAAGTAGTCGAACGCGTTGACAACTTCACTTATCTTGGAAGTCTGATCAGCCCTAATGGGTTGGTGTCTGACGAAATCTCAGCACGGATTCGAAAAGCTCGTTTGGCTTTTGCCAACTTACGTCACCTTGGCGAAGGCGAGATATCCGTCTATCAATAAAAGGACGAGTATACTGCGCGGCAGTCCGTTCTGTTTTACTTTACGGCAGCGAAACATGGCCTTAAGAGTAGAAGACACTCGTAAGCTACTAGTATTTGACCACAGATGCCTTAGAAATATTGCTGGCGTCTGCTGGGATCACCGGGTAAGTAATAGTGAGGTTAGACGCAGGGTATTAGGAAATGATGGTAAATCAGTTGATGAGGTTATGAATCTTCATCGACTGAGATGGTTGGGCCACGTGTTACGTATGCCTGAACACCGATTACCACGACGTGCAATGCTACTAGTGTTGGGATGGTTGGAAGAAAGTTAGGGGCGGCCAAACCAAAACGTGGCATCAGTGCTTGAAGTCACTAACTTCTAGTCTGAGCCATGTTGGTAGATGCAGACTACTTGGTTGGGGTCCGCGTGACTATCGTAACCAATGGTTGGAGACTCTTGGTGACATGGCTCAGAATCGATCACAATGGCGTCGGTGTATACACTCTGTCTTCCCTTAAACTAAGAGATTAAAATCACTTCATATCTTTCTTTCTACGAACCAATTCTTTCTTCTTGTACTATATTTCTATATGCAATCTTTCTTTCATATATTACCACCTTTGACCTAACCACTGCTATGAATCCGGTGTTCATCTTGTTGTGCTGATGCGGTATGGCAACCTGGACCGATGCACATATGTGCCTGGTCCTAAGTTGTAGCTGACTGACTGACTTATCTTTGAGGTAATGATCATAATTAACCAATGGAGTAAATGAAACCATTCGAATTACTATTCAAAATAGAATTGAACTTATGATCAAATCAAAAGAATAAACAAATCAGTAGCTATGTATTCGGACTGAGCTCAGAGACATTCACTTGTTACTTGATAATCTCTTTACTATATCAAAATGGAATAATCAAAACATCAAGAGTGTTGTATTGCAGTGGACAAGTAGACAAGTGGGGACAATCGAATGTATTTCAACACCAAACTTACAGAACATCTTTGTAAAATCTGAGAACCATATAGTAAATACTTCATTTGTAAAATGTCAATTAATTGTCTCAAACTTGATTGTTCCTTCGTTTCTACACCAATCATTCTTTGTTTCATTCTCTTTTCTTTAATCTTCTTAACTTTCTACCGCAAGGCATTTCACTTTCAACTGATGACACATACTACATATATTTGTCAGTATCAGTAGCATACACCAGTGTATGAATTATATACACACAATTTGGATATCGATTCATACTATTTCTAAACTCATTACTTTTATTCATTGTTTTCAGTATCATATAAAACCCGATAATTGATCCACTTTAGATGTAGTGGAAACTATTTCACTGGAAATCCTATCGCGAAAGTGATGGTTCTCAGTTAAACGTAAGATGTAAACATTTCCTGTTCAACTTAAGCACATGAAAACTCTTTGGTCAGAGACATTTATATCGTTTAAAACATAGTCGAATATTCAACTACAGTAGAATCGTCATCTTTATCATCAATAAACAGCTTCCCGTTGTATTCCTAGTTGGTCTTACATCATACACAAGTAAACTGAAACGAATCTGAATTGTATAAGCTAGAACAGTTAACCGAATGTCTAAACAAATATTCATTCAAAAAGTATAAATAGTCGTAAGATATTTTTCAGTTAGTTGTTTCTTCATTGTTTGGAAGACTCCAACCAGCAATTCGCACACGACCTCCACCTCTCATCACTTTTATACTACAATATACGAATACATACGAATTGCATACATTTCCAATATTAGTCAATCATTATTATTAATGTCTCGTGTGAATTATTTGCAGACAGTTCAATAAACAAGCAAAATATAATTAGCAATGCACCAATTTATTCGAATCTCGCGAGACAGGATCATAGAATGTTGAGGAGTCCCACAATAGGACGAAACATCCATCCAGTGCTTCCAGGTTTTCCATGGTGATCTAGCTTCAACTGACTCATGATCTCAAGTATTAAAATTACGAATAATAAATATTGTCAATACGTACCAAAAACAAACCTGTTTTATAACAACAACAAAAACTGTACAATCCAATATGATTTTAATAGAAAATTGTATTACTTACTGTCGGTTCGGTTTCACCAATCTCTTCATCTAGTTCACTGAAGTCAAAAGAATCATTAATCAAACAAGAAATAAAATATTTGTCAGTAAGTAAACATGGATGAACACTGATCCAATAGTCTGATACTGTTTGACTTTTACGAACTTACGTCACCTATGGCGAAGGCAATATATCCGCTCATCAATTAAGGGACGAGTATACTGCGCGGCAGGTCGTTCTGTTCTACTTTAGGGCTGCGAAACGTGACCATTGAGAGTAGGAGATACTCGTAAGCTTCTAGCATTTGATCACACGTGTCTTAAAAATGTTGCCAGCATCTACTAGGACCATTGGGTGAGTAGTAGTGAGGTTAGACGCAGGATATTAGAGAATGATGGAAAATTAGTTGATGAGGTTGTGAATCTTCATCGACTGAGATGGCTGGGTCACGTGTTAGGTATGCCTAAACACCGATTACCACAACGCGCAATGCTCACCAGTGTTGGGGATGGTTAGAAGAAAGTTAAGGGCGGACAAACCAAAATGTGGCATAGATTCTTGAAGCCACTAACTTCTAGTCGCAGCCATGTTGATAGATGCAGACTACTTGGTTGAGTTCCGCGTCACTATTGTAACCAATGGTTGAAGACTGTGTGCGACATGGCTCAGAACCGATCACAATAGCGTCGGTGTATGCACTCTTTGTCTTCCCTTAAACTATGAGATTAAAATTGCTTTATGCCTTTCTTTCTACCAACTAATTCTTTCTTTCTGTATTATATCCTTATACACAATCTGTCTTTTATAAATTACTACCATTGAACTGACTACTTCTATGAATCGTTTTTTTATCTTGTTGTGCTAATGAGTGAGGGGTATTACTTGGACCGATGTATATGTGTGCCTGGTTCTACGTTGTAGCTGACTGACTGAAAGTTTGTAGGAGATTTTTTTCCATTTCTTCATGAATTAACTTTTTTTTACCGTGAGCACTTCGTTTTAAACTATTTTATTTCTTATAGTTTTAGTCAAAAAAGCTTAGTTAGACAGCTACAGAAAACTAGAAAGTACTTGACATCTTTTTTGTCTTAGTATGTGATTCATCAGTAGTAGGCAACTACGACCCAACCGGGACGAGTGTCAGAATTTATAAGTTTAAAAATGAACGATTAACACTTAGACCACTGAGTTGACCTTCAATTGCTTGCATTTCTTACTCCAACAAATTTGAGATTTTTAGCAACCATTTAATACGAGCCGTCAGTGTGTATAATTGAGAAGTTTTATACTATAATGAAACAGCTGTTCACTGGCTTCTTGCCTTTCAATAATTGTGTAAGTACGATCCTTTCGTCATGAAAAATATAAAACTCAACATTCAGTAAATGAGCTTTGATCGATGAATGCTTCTGCTTCAGTAGTAAATGTTATTTTAAAAGATATTTCGATGCCAATTTCTCAAAATATTGCCTATTACAATCTAAATAGTATTGGATAATGATTGAGTTCGAAATATATGAATCAAGCATTATATTTCAATTTTCGACTTTTACGGCAACTCCAAATTATTCGAATAAACGGCTAGTTCAATACTCCATAGCCCTTTTATTTATTCTATTATTGATTTAGCAAGACAATTAAAGGCAAGTATATCTAGCGAGAGAAGATGGATATGTACCATGTACACCATATATAACTGACTGGGTTTTTTCTAATCATAAATAACTTAGGGGCAGTTTATATTTATTTACGTGGTTTTGCTCCACGAATCGAATTTAGTCAGACTACCATTGAAACTCAGGAGATTGTTGACAACGATTCCATCTTCCTGTGGGACTCCCAAGAGGTCCACACTCACAACCTCTTACGTCCTCTACTTGACTACGGCAGAATACGATATGTGACTAACGGCACTTGAACGTGTAGAACCCTACAGTCGCAGAGCAGGAGAAGTAAGAAGTAGTGAAAGTGATCACTGGGTAATAATCAAAGGTTTATTGGCTATAACATCATTATAATTCAGCTAATGCTTAAGGAGGGAAGTTATGCTATTGTCCAATAATAGAGTGCCACATTGATACTTTAGAAGGCTCTATCAGGTTCTGACTGGACGAAATCTCTTCGGCTCCGTCAGAGCCTCTGGAGGCTTCGTTGTGCCTTTCGAAGCCGTCCCAACACAGCCCACCATGGGATCATGTACAGTACATTCAGGCCTCATAGATGGTAACTAACCCTCACACTTCTGACTCTAGATCCAGTTAATTCGCGAAATTACGAGATCATCAGCTTATGTCACCAGTAACAGACACTTCATCCCAGACATGTGAGAACTCTACTGACCAAAAGTTTTCACTAGAACTCCAAGAATCACCACTCAAAACCATAACAAAGATCAATAGCTCTTAAACCTAACCATATTAACGAAAGCTAATGCGTTTGCTATGGAGTTTATGGTTCTAAGTTTATGATAAATGTAGATTATGAAAGAACATCTTTAAACAGTACACGACTTAAACTTCAATACTTTACATAAAAATCTACTATAAATCTTTCTATTTACAAAAACACAACAAAGTGACTTACTGAGTTGTACGTGGTTTTTCTGAGAATATACGTAGCATAAAATCAGCCTCTTCATTTGGTTGAAATGTTGACGGAATAATTGCATAACGTCCTGTATCTAATCTATGTCGTCCACAAACTTCACGTAGATTAATAAACGCTGGTGAACGTGCAACTGATGCATTGTATTTGAAAAATTTCATATCCAATGTACCTTGATGCTGTTCTGGTAACTAAATAATTTTTTTCAAAGTAAGCTACAACATATAATCTGTCCAAAATGTACATGTATATTTAAATAAATATGTACAGCTGATCGATCGCTGAGTAGTGACCAATGTCATATTTGTCTAAGTCCTTCAGTAATGACTGGATCCTACTAGACAAGGCATCGTGTGGACTATGTTTTTATGTTAGATGATTAGAGGAAATTAGCGGAAAACCTTGAATATAAGTTTCATACTATTCAGTACTCATCAGTAACGTATGGTATTAAGCTTTTATTGGATAAGTGAATAAATTTCATTATATTTGTACGGTCGATAGGATAACTAACGAAAACTAACAAAATATGCCGTAGTACTATAATTATTTGCTTGTCACCACCTACAGTAATCAATAATTAACCGGATCCCAAAGAACTAGACACCAAACAGTTTCCTTCTAAACATTTCGATCAACAGACATCATATTATCTCAAATTGATCGGTGATTTACCTATATTAAGGTAATCTAAATGGATGGACTATGTATTTGAGAACTATATTACTATATATTTGTAAGTAGTATAAAACGTATCATTATTGTTTCTCGACTCGTACAAGCCGTTTCTCTCCTATTTCAATGAATCGATTTGAACGTTGATAATGGTGGTTGCTACTTTCAAATCTTAAGCTTACTTACTTCATTGTACCTCATTGGTTTACCCATTTACAATACATGATATTACACTTGGAACTCATTTAATTACCTACGAGATGATTGTAAATCGAAACTAATCTACATTACGCTAGGCAACATTTTAACATTGTTCGTGTTTTAAACATCAAAGCACATCACAAATTTATGATAACTGTATTGTCAAATGAAACCACTGTAACTCCAAGACATTTCATTAAGGCTCCTCTTACACATTGTCCTGAGTCCTTTTTCTCGTGAAATGATAATCTAGCTAAAATAACATTACATATTGATCATAAAATGAACCGATATAAAATATCGTTGGTTGGATTTTGGCTCTTGTTCAATTTCATTATATAATGATTACTAGCTAAATGAAGATTGTATCATCAGCTAGCAATTTGGATGACTCTCTCTTTCTCCCACATTGTATGAGCATTCCATGTATCTAAATTAATGGTTATTCTAGTTTTCAGAAGAGGGATCAACCTCGTCACTTCCGAAGGAACTGGGCTTTCACCAATGGGACGTCATAATTCTTCTAAATGAAGATCTTCTAACTCACAGTGCAGAGTTTTAATGGTTCGAATCATTTTTTTCTGGTTAATGAGTTAGTTTTCTACAGAATGGGGTCACTATCTCATATCTAACCCTCATCCTTTATCTAAGCTTGATACCGACAGTAGTCCCAGAGGGACTCCAGGCGAAGTTTCTATAGTATTTAGATTAAGTTATTTAGATTTACATGGATACTAAGATATTTGCTTTTAAATTATAATCTACTGTACCAGTATATGATCAGAATAATAGGCTAAACCAAAGGTAGTAATGTTTTTCAAACAGCCTAATTATATCATCTTATTGTAGATGATACATCACTTGACACAGTATGTAATTCATTTTAAATCATTCCTTCTTATGGAAATCGATCATTCTGTTTATTATGTAACATTGTATACTTATAGTTATATCATCTATGTTACTGTAATAATGATATTTGTTTCTTTCCGAATTCTTAATATAAATGTAACCACCTTGATGACTTAATGATCTGTGTTATTATCATCTTTTTTCTCCAGTAGTACTGTAGTGAACGAGAACACGAGTGGGGTAATCGAATGTATTTGGACATGAAATTACAGAATATCTCACAAAATATCCATCAGTTGTCTCAAAATTGGCTGTTCCTTTTGCTAATATCAGTCCATAATCTCAGGTTCCATTGTTCCTACATTTTCATACCAATTGCCTTTCGTTTTTCTATTCTTTCGTTCTTGATCTTCTACTGAAATCCATTCTATGCCTGACCATCGTTACATACTATTTATATGGATATAATGTAGCCTACACTACAGTACTACTGTATGTTGACTTAATCAGTTTATAAATTATTCCCTTGATGTATAAAGATTTCATTCACTTTGTTTCATGTTGGATGAGACTATAATTTATCGACGACGCTATGGAGCAACACTAAATTGATCTTGAGAGTATCCACCTAATAACCAGAACTAAATGAGGGTTATAAAACAGTATGAGAACAAGCTGTGAAACGCATACGGAGAAATTCGAACACTTCACTTCTATCTGAAGTTTGTGCTGATGATGTCGTTCAGAAGAACGATGAAAGCTCCACGAACAAACCATCCAGTTCAGAGAACAAAACTTCATCAAAATTAGAATAATGATTTACAAATGATAGTTAGGGGTTAGGAATTATATTTAAGGGGTTTTTTCTGTCATCACCAACTGACATTAGCTATAATGCCAAAAACTCTATTTAACCAAATGGGTGAATGAATTCCACGTTGAAATCCAAGACCTATTGTCATCTTATAATCTGATTGGTTCATCCATAACTTAAAAATCTCACCAATTTTATTTTCTTTATCAGAAGGAGTTTGTGGAGATTGTAGAAATTTCACAGATTGAAATCATGAGTCAATTGAAGCTAGACCACCATGGAAAACCTAGAAGCACTGAACGGCCGTTTCGTCCTAGTATGGTTTATAGCTCACTGAAGACAATGGTGTACGGTGGCGCAACTTCGTGGATTGGTTGAAGTTAAACATTAACACCATTCCATGCCGGCTCAGTGATTTATTTTCTTTTTTTTATTCTTATCATACCCTAAATGTGTGTAATTTCTTTCATACATTGAATTCACCTTTTTATTCTTTGTACTAATTCGAAGTACATAAGTGTTGTTTATTGACTTATCCATATTACTCAAGGTTAAACAAAATCACCTTCCTATAAATAAAATCAATAGCTGATGTCCATTTTATCAACCCTATAAGAATAATGTAAGGCAAGTCATGTGAACAAACGTTTTTTTGGCAATATTCTTGATCAATCACATGATTAGCCAAATTGTTTTCATCACAATGAAAATTGTCAATAAATAAGGACAAAAAATTAAAAAAAATTTTTTTGCCTGTGAACATATTTAGTTGTTAAGTAAATATGGACAATAGGCTTGTAAACATAGTTGCTATGTAATATGAATATAGGATTTTTCAATCTATGAGTATTGCTTAATTACATTAGATCATTTAATGAAATAATAGCCTACTTCAATCTGTTTCTAATATCCTGAAGATATGTATCGTTTATTTTAAGGTAAACAATCTTAAACAGCTAAACTGACATTATGAATAATGGTTAACTTAGATGATATTCAAAAGAGTAAAATCGTCTGGAGCCCATCTTGGACTACTGTCGGTATCAAGCTTGGATAAAGGATGAGGGTTGGGTATGGGATTAGTGACCCCATTCTGTAGAAAACTAACTCACTAAAAAAAGCTAACCATAAAAAAATGATTCGAACCATTAAAACTCTGTACTGGGAGTTAGAAGATCTTCATTTAGAAGAATTATGACATCTCATTGGTGAAAGCCCAGTTCCTGCGGAAGTGACGAGGTTGATCCCTCTTCTGACAACTAGAATAACCATTAATTTAGGTACATGGAATGCTCGTACGATGTGGGACACCGGGAGAAGTATTATAGACCTGTTGTAATCATTACAACTAAACTATCATCTTACCAATATCTAGCACTCTGTGAGTTTATCCACAATGATCTATCTACCGAAAGTAACTATGGGAAATAGTTTACCAGAGATTACAACATCGAATCACTGATATCTTCAGCTATTGACGTGAAGCGAGAAAACGTTGTTACATAGGTGGATAGATACTATGAACAGTGATACAAGAAAATCAACAATTCCTTAATTTAGTTTCAGATCATCACTTAGTTATTCCTTTCAATAAAATAAAAGTTCATCATTCAATTAGTTCTACACAAATATACATTCATAACAAATAAAAAGTACAACACAATTCAGTGCAAATTCAATGTAAAATAAAAAATACAAATTGGGCCAGTACTTCTATTCATAACCTCACTGTCAAGGTCACTCTTCCCATACAGACACTTCTTCTTCCAACCAATCAATGTCATCATTCATTGTAATCACTTAAATCATTCGCACAAATTATTGATTACTGGTCGAAATATATAAAACCACAATGCATATTACTATTATCATTATTATTATTATTGTTATTATGTTGAATAGAAGTTGGAAAGCATGAATCAATGAATGGTTCTACCATATGCATCTGATTTATTTATGCATTACACAAAAATAGGTCGAATCTTTAACTAAATAGACCAACTTTCATTTTAACTAAACAAGTAACAACATTCGGTAAATAATTCGATGTTCACAGAAATCTCCGCTACTACTTAACTGAATTAATGATCATCATAATATAGGTGACTTTACAGTTTACTGAGACATGGTTTTCGTCTTGTATATTTAATAACTGACCTTAAAGAACAGGCTACTACTAGTAGAATTGACGATGTTTATGAAGATTGGGGAAAAAGCAAACATGCAGAACAAAGGAAGGAAGCGGAACTTTAAGTTCAACATATTTAAAATGTATTCTTGTGGAACAATCCAAGCCATGTCACAATACTTTTTGCTTATCAGTAATTTTCAACGGATTGGTTATATGAACCAAGAAACTTCTGAATTGTTTCCACGTCATTACCCCATGCATTAGGCTTACATTTTATCTAGCCATTTTAGTTTCAATGTTTACTAATCCTTCTTTTTCAATAGTTGAGATCATGAATCAATCGAAGCTAGACCACCATAGAAAACCTGGAAGCAGAACGGCCGTTTCGTCCTATTATGAGACTCCTCAGCAGTTTGTCCACGACGCCGTTCGCGGGATCCGAACCCAGGATCTTCGTTCTCGCGCGCGAATGCTTAAACTCTATACCACTGACAAGGTCGGCATTCAACTGTATTAATGACTAACCTCCACCCGAGACCTATCAGTCACGCGCGCAGGCGTAGTGAAAAGCAATTTTTACCATGGATCGATGCAAAGGTAAAACACAGTATAAAAAGTAGCACACAAGATTACATATTAACGAACATTTGAACGCCTTAATATTGAATGATTTAGCACAAAGGCAATAACTTCTTGTATCCATAATTCATAGATTATTGACCAACAAAATAAAAATTTAACACTCAGGTTCACTTATGGGATACCATATCTCAAAATATAATTCCACTACCCAACAAATCATATTTTTACATTAAAAGCAAACAGAAATTCCATAAGATGATGGAGAAGATTTAATAGCTCAAATGGATGATTTTGATAGAGTTTTGTTCTCTGAGATAACTTGAACATTTCACTACAACTTGAAATTTGTACAGATGATGTTGTTTGGAAGAGAATAATGAAAACTTCACAATCAAATCATCCAATTCAAAGAACACAAATCCATCAAAATTATACATCAAATAAACATTTCATCCATACTACTGATATTGATCAATTCAGTAATAATGAAACAAAACATTTCTCTAATGATAACTTACTTTATAAACAGAATAACCAATCGTTAATAGATCAGCACCTTCACGTCTCATTTTTCGTCTATTCTTTTGCATTAAACCAACAATTAATGTACCTTTATTTTCATTATCATCATCATCTGGATCTTCAACAGTTACTACATATTGTGGATTGATCCAAAATGTTTCTAAGAAACAAAAAACCAGAGACAAATCATATACATAATGTCTAATCTTTGCTATTATCACTTATAATGTTGCTCTACTTTTAACTAGTCAAGCATTTGACATGACAATTTCATCTCGTTTTACTGTAATGATAAGATAAATAAAGTTAATACACGAATATACTTGATTCTATTATCTAACTAACTGAACAATTATCCTATAGAATTTATTATAATTTAAAAGGAAAAGGAAATCTATCCATTATACAAATTGAGATAAACAAATCAAATGGTTAATATGTTGTAAGAAATGTGTTGAATTGATAAGTTGGGAACTATGGATTCAATGCATTTCCATAATGAGATCTAAAAACACGATTGGACAAGATTTCAAATTCAATACAGTTGATAGTGAGGTTATAATTTATGGACAACTTTGAAATGAATCACAAGTGACCTTGAGATATTTCAGCCAATCAGAGAAAGGTTGGTGTAGAGTAAAAATACATTATACGAAATCAAAGAATCAAAGTGAATACACTTCTTTTACATAATTCAAAAACTTGTCAAGGTTAGGAAGAGCTTCAGAGGTTCTAAAATCTTAATGTATACGGTAGAGGAAATCATCTATATGGTTTCATAATAGTCAGCCTCTGGAAACGTGATAAGGTCACAAAAACTGTTTGAACCTCAACCACATAGCTTCAATATTACTGTGTGCGCTCCGGTTGTTGGGTTCATAAAATGCTGCTTGTGGACAACGACGTAATGCACATAATCAATTCTATTTTGGTATCTGTATGATCTTCAATCATTCGTATATATTGTAGTAGCCGGCTGTAGTCAGTGTTACTGGTGCTTTTATTATCCAGTTCTCAATTTACCTTAGTCTCAATATGGATTGAACGAAAAAACCCTATTTTAGCAGACTTCTTACTCCAACACATATTACATCATCACTGCAGTCTGCACAAAGTCCACAAGTCATGTGATGTCATTTATGTACAAAATATTTGAGCACGTAAATAAACCATCAATAAAAATGTATGGTAATTTAGTTGAAAAGGTTTAGTGGAGTTAGGTTTCAAATTGAAGGTCACATCCGTTATACATCAATTTCAATTGGTCTATAATTGAAAACAAGTGAAAGCTGGACTGCTATTTTGTTCTAGTGCGTGAATACTCAATAGTGAACACCCACAACCTCAACACGAACATTAGACACCGACTCAACGACTTGTAGGTACTGAGTTTGATTCCTACTGAGGTCGTAGGTGCTCGTTGGTGAAATGTCTTGTACTAGGATGAAACAGCTTTCTAGTGTTTCCTTATATTTATTGCTACCTCAACTGAGATCAATCTGCGTCAAATACAGTCTACACCTAGAAATAAAAGCCAAAAAACAAATATGAAATCACTGCCGTCTCCCTTATCATCAATTATATTAAGTTTGTTGAGTTTCACTTAACTGGAGACATGTTTTCAAGTATCTTGTAATTTAGTGTTTTATTTCAACAATACTTGAGTTGGATGCCACAGGTGGAAAACGTTTTGTTCAACAATAAAAATAATACCAAATTTCATCTTACCAAGAAAATTACGACATCCACCGGCAGATACACGCCGCTGCCAACAACCTTCTTCAATACACATTTCCCAAACACGATTTCCTCCCATTTCTCCCATAGATTGTGGTCCAAGATGACATATCTCAAGTTTTTCAAAATTCGATACAAAATCTTGATAAGACATCCTAGAATAAAGAAAAATATTTGTATCAGAAGGGGTTTTGTGGATATTATAGTAATTTTAATAGTTGAGATCAAGAGGTAATTCATAGAGTTCTAGTGAGAAGCCGTGACCAGTGGAGTTCAACCGAGTCTGTTGTGAGGTAGTAACTCACTGATGACAATGGTGGATGTGTCACTTAATTTCGTGGATTAACTGAAATTAGACATAAACACCATTGGATGACGGCTCAGTAGTCTATAGGTTAAGCATTCGCGTAAGAGACCGACAGACCCTGGGTTCGAATCTCGCGAGGCGGGATTGTGGATGAGCACTGCTGAGGAGTTCCATAATAGGACGAAACGGTCATCTAGTGCTTCCATGTTTTCCATGGTGGTCTAGCTCCAATTGCTTAACACGATAAAATATCATGAATAAAAAATGTTACAGATAAACGGAAATTGAACATTAGACTTTAACATCCACCTAAACCAAACAGGAATTAATCAGCGAGAGGCAAAGATGGTATAGACATGTTTTGCATAATAAATCAAATTTGAAAATGATTATTTATTTTGTTCATGTAGAAATGTATCTACATTGAAGAATGTAATGGTGACACGAGAGATAATGCAAATGAAACTGGTACGTGTACTTTCTTTAAACTGGATAATTGTGCATCAACTGTAGCTGCATCACAGAATAAATCGATTCAATTACTAAGTTTCAGTGTTCAACAGATATCTTATGTTCTGTGAAGAAAACTACACGAATAGTTGAATTCATGAGTCAATTGAAGCTAAAAAACGATGAAAAGCCTGGAAGCAGTGGATGACTGTTTCGTCATAGTGTGGGACTCCTTAGCAGTACACATTCACGACTCATCAATTCAATTATTATATTACTATAATATCCACAAAATATCCCTCTGATTATTTTGTAGTTAGGGTTTACCAATTAACTCGAAACATTAAACGCTTACTAAACAAACTTAGTAGAAATCTGGAAAGCATTACATACAATACTAATCCGATTGGAAAATTGGTTCACGTTAACTTATAATGAAACATACTGTTCATTAACGCTTTGCCCCGAAATGCCCTGGTACGGCCGACGATGGAAAGAATCAGTTCTCCTCATCCATATGCTCCCACAAGACCATGCGTATACAGCCACTGCCACACAAGTCCTACTCGCTTCATTTCCGCTGCATTACTGTCCTTTACAAAATTGAGAGGACGAAAAGTGAATGTCCGGGTTGGTGGACACGGAGTATTCACCTAGGAGAGTTGGCAAACCTTGATTCCAAATCAGTGGTACACATGGGCTGGCTCCAGGATCCTGAGGGAACAAATGGCATATGAACATAGTGTTGATGACCAGCTACTATGGGACTCCATCTCCTTACGATGCTCCATTGCCTTGTGAATTAGACATTTAGGTCGAAGATTCGGGGTGTGGTCCCTTAAGAAAACCGCCTGTTTCGGTTTGGGCACCCGAGCAGTATCCCAGCCCTCACACAAATCGAATGATTTATGTGGAGCATATCTACTTGGTGACTCCTTGTACCAATGTTTATGTGTTTAAATAAATATAATAAATAACAAATAAATATTCCAGAATGACCCTATAGAAGAGATACAGATTAGTTTCACTTGTTCTTCTCTAGTAAACGATGAAACTGTGAGAATTTTCTGATACTTGAAAATCATTTAATCAACCTGAAGTAAGAAAATGAAATAATCTTATCTATTTGAAGACGTTAACAAAATGCAGTATCTTGAATGTTTAATGTGATAACCAAGGTACAAGGTGGAATAGTTATTCATTAATAGTTTAGGCCAATGGTCACATTACATCATAATAATGGATTAAGTAAGAAAACCTTGAATCAATAAATTCCAAGCCCATAACTGAATAGTATTCACACTTATGACATGACCTAACTATATTGAGGTTGGAATACATGTGTAATAGTGTGGCCATGTCTATCGCTGAACTGTCCAGAACTAGGATGAGTCTTCGGACAAGACTATTGTTAATTGTTCCACAAAGTAATTAATCCATTTATTTTTCCAGTAAACACTTCATGAAACCTGCTTTTAAGACAATTTCAATATCATATCAAAGAATAGCAAAACTGAAGTTGTAAAAAGTTATAACTAACAATATCATAAATAACAGTATAGGGTTGTGGAGAGCATTAAGTTTTTGATTAAGATCATGAGCCGCCCTGGAAGCACTGGACGACCGTTTCGTCCTATTGTGGGACTCCTCAGTAGTTTGCGTCCACGATCCCGTCCGCAGGATCCGAACGCACGACCTTCAGTCTCACACGCGAACGCTTAACCTCTAAACCACTGAGCTGACCGGCATCCAACTGTGTTAATTTATAACATCAACTATAAATATAAGTGAATATTTCAACAACAATAAATATTATGTTTTATTAATTTACCAAAATTCACCATCATCATCGAATGTTAAACCAAGTTGTTGTCGTTGTTCTGGTGAGATAAGTGACCATTCTTTTGATTTATCACTCCATGCACCTTTCCATTCAGATTCATCACCCCATGGATTACGTACACGAACTAGTGGTATCTTACCAGTTTTGTTTGGAATTGATATATCTAACTAAAATGATAAGTGAAATACATATATATATACTCTTATACTGTTAACACATAAACATGTAGAAATTAGGTTAATGAGCTATGTATTATAACTCCGGTTGGAGCTCCTCTGGAACTACTGCCGGTCACAAGCTCAAACCCAAGTAAAGGTTAAAACAATATTTTCTATATGTTCAAATGTTTATCAAACAGAATTAAGTTTCAGATAATAATGAAAATACAATAACCTACAATTGTTACTATTGTTGTTTGAATTGTCTTATTAATGATATTCAAGACTGAGTAGTTTTTCTTTTGGAATATTCTGTGTGAATTGCATCAATATAGCGATTTAGCCGTAAGCTTTTTTTTCTATCAAAGTAGATGCAATGTTCTCATTTACCAGTAAAGAATGATCGGAATTCAATCCTGAATATCACAAAGGAGATCATTCGAATTCTTATAGATAATGATATAAACATCATACCACTTGTATAATTTGGCGCATATCTAAAAGACTTGATAGTTTATTGAATAGCGTGTTATTGTTTGATGCAGAAGGTACATAGTTCAAGTTCCAGTGTGTACATCAACATTTAGGTGAAGACAAATTCAGTCACCAAGTTCTAAATCCCACTACTAGTCATAAACCATGTATTCTAGGTAGTTTAAAGTGATATACAAGGCAAAACAGCGCCTATTTTATTTAAGAGTAGGTACACTTTCAAAGAAGTGAATGCATTAAAATATCATGGTCATACCATTAGTGAATATTTTACTAGTCTTTTCAAAGCTCAATGTATGAAATTATGCTACTATCTCCCCGACATTGTTCAACGAGCATAACAACAAGACCCATATATACAGACAAACCTAAAATTTTATGATTTAATACAATGAATTAATGGAATGAGCTTCAGATCAACTTCTAGATATAGGTAATTGAATTGTCTATTGAGTTAGATGTTATACTGCATTTACTACTCAAATACTTGTTGTCAGTACACCATTAGTGAAATAATCTATAAATGAACAATAAGAACAGTGGGATACACCATGACAATTCGGTTCATTACAGAAATACATTTCTTGATGACAAGCACAAACAAGATACGATCAAAAAATGAGAAAAGAAAGGCTACTGCCCCTTAGCAACTATAAAAATTAATCTGTAACTCATCAATTCAGTGAATTTGAGAAGTTTCCAGCTAGTGATTACTTATCAAGTAACAAAAACAAATCATATCACTAACCCTGTTCATCAATTTGCTTCCATAATCAATAATCGATTAACTATAAGGAATAATATCATATTATACCAAACTGATTTTTAAAATGAAAAGGACAATTTAGTCATTCCTTTCAATAAAATAAAAGTTCATCATTCAATTAGTTCTACACAAATATACATTCATAACAAATAAAAAGTACAACACAATTCAGTGCAAATTCAATGTAAAACAAACGAAAAAAAAAAGAAAAAAAAACGGCCAGCACTTCTATTCATAACCTCACTGTCAAGGTCACTTTTCCCATACAGACACTTCTTCTTCCAACCAATCAATGTCATCATTCATTGTAATCACTTAAATCATTCGCACAAATTATTGATTACTGATCGAAATATATAAAACCACTATGCATATTACTATTATCATTATTATTATTATTATTGTTATTATGTTGAATAGAAGTTGGAAAGCATGAATCAATGAATGGTACTACCATATGCATCTGATCTATTTATGCATTACACAAAAATAGGTCGAAAATTTAACTAAATAGACCAACTTTCATTTTAACTAAACAAGTAACAACATTCGGTAGATAATTCGATGTTCACAGAAATCTCCGCTACTACTTAACTGAATTAATGATCATCATAATATAGGTGACTTTACAGTTTGCTGAGACATGATTTTCGTCTTGTATATTTAATAACTGACTTAAAAGAACAGGCTCAGTCAGCAACAACGTAGAACTTCATACGTACATACATCAGTTCGAGTTGCCATATCACATTACCACACAAATACAATTGTCGATTCAAATCCCGTAGTGATAGACGTAGTAAGAGTATGAGCAGTAATCGGAAACACTAGGGTTTGAAGACGTTATTCAAGGAGTATAATCCAGTGAAATAAATTTGGATAGAGAAAAAATAAGGGACAGGAAGAATTCAGAAGATTAGAATTTAGAAGAACACAAAGAGTGGATGCACTGAGCCATTGCAAATGATTTTGAGCCATGTCACATTCAAAGTCTCTAATCATCAGTTGCTATCGTCTCGCAGATCCTAATCAGGTAGTCTACACGTCTCAACATGACTCAGTCCATTTGTCAGTGACTTCATGGATGTGTGATGCTTTGGTCTGGCCGCCCCTAGCTTTCTTTCAACCTACTCCTACACCATTAAACGTCTCCCTGATATTCACACTATATTGTAAAACAATTATTATTTTATGTTGAACCTGTCTATAAATGTTGAAAACAATTATACTAACCATTTTAACAGATGTAACTGAATAAGCATGTCCCATAATCAATCCATTTGGTAATCGGGCTTCATATTTATTTGGATCAGCTTGAATGGAACATGCCATCAATGAACCTAACTCTTGACTTTTTAGCATAACTTGTAATAAATTTGTTGGTGTATCTTTTTTCAAATCAAACATTTCAGCAATTCCACCAGTAAAATCTTCTAGTGCTTCACTAGTTGTACCACCTTTAAGTGCTTCATATGAACCGCATAATCTATTTATACATATAAATATACAAAATAAATCACTCATTTAAACTATGAAAATTGATCATTTAAACATTTGTATAAATTGTATGTTAATAAAGTATTACTCTCATCATACGCTTATTTGCTAACTTCAGGGATGGTAAATATTTGGGAAGATATCTTTTAACGCGATAGAAATGTGGTGATGATATTACTTACTTACCTACACCTGTTACTCCCAGTGAAGGAGCATAGGCCGCTCACCAGCATTCTCCATCCAACCCTGTCCTGGGCAATCCTTTCCAGCTCCTTCCAGTTGTTATTCATCTTTTTCATATGCGCTTTTATCTTCCGACGTAATGTGTTCTTTGACCTTCCTCTTTTCCGCTTCCCTTCAGGATTCCAAGTTAGGGCTTGCCTCGTGATGCAGTTTGACGATTTGTGTAATGTATGTCCTATCAATTTCCATCGTCTTTTCCTAATTTCTTCTTCAGCTGGAAACTGTTTTGTTCTCTCCCACAGAAGGCTGTTGTTGATGGTATCCGGCAATGGATGTTGAGTATCTTGCGTAGACATCTATATATAAATACTTGTACCTTCTTGATGATGGTTGTTGTAGTTCTCCAAGTTTCAGCTCCGTACAGTAGGTGATGATATACACCGTAATAATCATCAATCTTGTAGGCAAAAAGTTTTCCCTTAATAAGTAATATATGCAAAGTATAAATATCCTTAGAAGGGGGTATTGAAGTAACTGCTTTTATGAATCCAGTGTTCATCTTGTTGTACTAATGAGGTATGGCAACATGGACCGATGCATATATATGCCTGTTCCTACGTTTGTAGTTGATTGACCCTTAGAAGGTGATATACCTAGGATATCATGTCTATTTTGGAATGATAGGTGCTATGAAATATAAATCAAACAGTCTATGCATTATTGGTACAACTTGATGTTTCACAACATTTTCGTGTTCAATAATAACTGCTGGCCATTATTACGTTTAAGGTTTAGAGGACTTTAAGATATTACATGATGCATTTGATTTGTGAGAGAGAACTAAATTTTTGACATAAATGTCGATGATCAGGTTCAACTTGACTAACACATCATAATTAGACATGTAATTGATTTACTTATTCTTGTTAGCCATAGGACTCACTATTTAGGATACATTATTCCTTCAGTAGGAAGGAAACATTAATAGAATTACACATTTTGCGAACTAAAATTATTATAACTAAAACGAATGTGGTTAAATAGTGTTATACTTGTAACAAAACCTGTACATTCTGTAGATGAGACCGTATATAATGTAATCATTGTCTATTGATAAGTAGTCTTAAATTAGGATTCAGCAGTCTAAAGACTAAGCATTCATAAAGAGAACTGTAGATCCTGAAGTTTATCTCTGGTTAGTCTGTACATATGGATTGATAAAAGAGTCAAATACTAAGACGAAACTGTTGTTCAGTTGTTCCCGGCTTTCAACGGATGCCTGACAAAGCCCACTGAGCAAAACAAGACAAAACATGAATCCAGATTTGCTTACCTCTTAATTACCATTTTTAATAGACAACTAAAACTTACTTTGCATAAGCTTTTTCTAATAATGCAGACCAAAATTCATTTGTATCAGTTGAATGTATATAAACTAATGATTTATGATAAGTTGGTAAACGATCATCTACAACAACCTCTTTCCATTCACCATAATTCCAAAAATGAAAACGAAATAAACCACAATATTCTTTAGTAAAACTTTGATCAATTGCTACAATTTGTTCAAATAATTTCTGATTCATTGATAAACAAGCAATAGCAGCTAATAGCCAACAATCACCTAAGAAACATATATGGAATAAGATAAAGAAATAACTAACAAGCAATGACTATATATATAGAAGAATGAATCAGTCAGTCAGTCACTCAGAAACAACATAGAACTTCGTACGTATATACGTACATCAGTTCGAGTTGCCATGCCACATTGGCACAGAAATACAATTATCGATTCAAATCTCATAGTGGTAGAGGTAGTAAGAGTATATGCAGTAATCGGAAAGATTAGCGTTTGAAGATGTTATTCAAGGAGTATAATCCACTGAAATAAATTTGGAAAGAGAATGAATGACTTTTCATATCCTTTCCTTGATTACTTGGCAATCCTATACAACAACAAAAATCAATAATATCATTATAATGAAGAAAAAATTGGATCGTCGGTTAACTGATTTCATTCATACTGATGGTTAGTTTTCAGGGTTCTCAAGGGCCGTTGTTATTGGGAAATTGTAAGGTATGTCGCCATTGCTAATATTAATGAGTTTAACTGTCGTGTAAAAACGGGATAGGTCAACTTTGGCCTGTTCGTGCTGCGCACAATAGATTTACGCAATCAATGATCAGAATAAATGTACATATGATGTGTATGTGTATATGAATGATGCGAATGGTCCACTAGGGTGCTTGGTAGTACCTGAGAGGTTGCACCACAGGATTGAGCTATTCTATTCAGATTGTAGTGTTAAAGCCTATACGGTGTCTGGTTCTCCTGTGAAGCGGAATTGAACTGTACTGTTTGAGTTGTCACATGGAAATCTGGATAGTGTCTGGTTCTCCTGAAAACCAATGTAAAATTACCCTAACCCATAAGGGTATAATATAGAACTTATGTAACTATAAAACTTTGATCGGTTGTTACAATTTGTTCAAATAATTACTTATCATTGATAAACAAACAATAGCAGCTAATAGCCAACAATCATCTAAGAAAAATTAGTTGAAATAAGATGAAAACAACTAACAGACAATGACTATTTATAAAAGAATGAATGACCTTTCATATACTTTCCTTGATTATTTGGCAATCCTACACAAAAAAAGTCAGTCATAAATAATTTTAATGAAAAATCTCATAATAATTACGTATTTACTAGTGAATCACTTTAAGAGATGTAATTTTCAAAGTATTAGAGAGAAGTTATGATCAATGGAGACCAATATCTATCTTTGCTTAGAATGTGTGTCAATTAAGACAATATCAAGATAATGCGCACAGGATGCATATATGTCAATAAGAAACTGATCAATTATAGTCCTAAACATCAATTAGAAGATTCAACTAGAACAATATCAATATATCAGGACTCGGTAGTTAATTGAATCATGCGATGGTGTTTGAAGCGAACGGTAGTGAGTTCTAGACCCAGAGTTGCAGGTACATCCAGTTGACGAGTGCCAAATAAGACGAAACGCGCGTCCTGGATTCCACTGCTAGCCATTATCCATCTTTGCTTAAAAAGCTTGTGACTTAAAGCAATATCGAGGCAGTTCGTGCAGGATGCACATATATTAATAAGAGACTGATCAATTGCAGTTCTAAACATTAATTGTAAGATTCAAGTGAATTTAAACTTCATCCCATTGCACAATCAAGTAGCCAATAGGACTCAGTAGATAAGTGGATCACGCGATGGAGTGAGCATCAACTCTGAGATGCAGGTACATCCAGCTGACCAGTCGCAAATAGGACGAAACGCGCGTCAAACTGGATTCCATTGCTACCCACTATCTATCTCTGCTCAAAACGTAATTAGATTTTACATCTTTTAAGAATCTGTTAAAGCTTTCTACAGATTATGCTGTCTATGAGAGAAAATGTCATAAAATATAAATTCGTCCTTATGGACGGACATAAATTATGCGTGTCCTCAAATTCTAATAATAATCCAAATAGATTTGTAAGAGTTTGCACAATATTCTTGGTTGGGATTAGGATTAAGGATTTCAGATTAGGATTTTCATCATGAACTGACATTAGCTGTAATTTTGATGGAGTTTTGTTCTCTGAGTTGGATGAAGCCTTTGGTCATGAAGCTTTTGAATGGTCTTCTGAATGATTCACCTGAACTATAAATCTTCTCCATCATCATCTCATCAACTGTAATAAACACAGTACTTTACAGTGTTTTACACAAGAATCTAATTAGTTTGTTTATAAATTTTAACAGTTATTTCATCATAGTACGGGACAACTGTGAAGTGCTTATCCATAATCAAACCGAAAATCAAACCCAGAACTTTCATACCTTTGAACGATCTACTAACTTTCAGACCATTAAGCCAGCATCCAATAGTTTACATCTACAATTTAAATCAACTCATGATGTTGCATAATCATCATCCAATGTTATCAGTAAGTAATTGTCTGTTATCAGATATAGTTGAACTCTACTAATCAAAGATCCTCATCAGAACTTTATAACTTCATGAAACTAGTCATTTATAAACACAAATTAAATACGGTTCATATGCAATAGAATAGTTATTTAATAATAATAATAAATCAACTGAAGTTTGAATTGTACAATTAATTAGATACTGACTCAGAAATTCTAATGATTGAATATTTGTCTTGAAATTTTAAGATCATAGCTTCGTTCATTGATGAGATCTTGATGGATCATTACTTAAGAATCTCATACTGAGATGGAATAGCTATTCAATGCTCTAAGTACAACAAATCTATATTGAATACAGCTTATAATTTCAAAATTCATTCATTTCTTTACAAACAGTTCTACAACTTTCGATAGTTGAGATCATGAGTCAATTGAAGTTAGACCATCATGGAAAACCTGGAAGCACTGTACAGCCGTCTTGTCCCATTGTAGGAGACCCCAGCAGGCCCTTAAATAGCCTGTTATGGCCGAGAGTGGGGACAGTCAGCTCTCTCTCTCGAAATGCTCTTACATGGCTACATGCATACAACCACTGCCACACAAGTCCTACTCACTGTTTTCTCGCGGCATTACGGTTGTTTACAAAATCGAGAGGACGAAAAGCGAATGTCCGACACTTTGACCGGAACGGTAGATAGGGAAGATCCACCAAGTGGAGTTGGGCACCCGAACAGTATCTCAGCCCTCACATAAATTAAATGATTTATGTGGTGTTTATCTATTTGGTGTTCGTGCAACTCCGTGGATTGGTTGGGATTAGACATTATTACCATTGGATGCTGGTTTAGTGGTCCAGTAGATTAAGCGTTCGCACGCGAGACTGAAGGCACTGAGTACGAATCCCGCGAGCGGGATCGTGGATGCGCACTGCTGAGGAGTTCCACAATAGGACGAAACGGCCGTTCAGTACTTCCAGGTTTTCAATGGTGGTCTAACATCAATTAGTTCATGATCTCAATTAAATACATAATATTCATGGTAATGAATTATACTCATTTAGTAAATATTTAGCAAATTAATCAATAAGCAATTATCACTTTTACGGTATATTTTTTATTGATATCTAGAGTAATACATACTACTACTAATTAGGTGTTGAAATGTCAAACGATCAAGTTCAATATGTAATTTTACATTTATTGATGCAATTTCATGTTTTCCTGCAGTATAAAAACATCCTAAGTTAAATTATATTTGTAACCAAATGATCAACAGTGATGCAATTTGTAAGTTTATAACCATATTAATTAAAAATATAAACCATGACAACGTTCATAGTGAAATACTTATACACAACAGTATTTAAGCTATACAAAACAACAATTTATACATGTCCAAAATGAAACAATTGTCATCAACTGTTGAATGATCATTGTGCTACATCATAAATCAACTGAAGTTTGAATTGTACAATTAATTAGATACTGACTCAGAAATTCTAATGATTGAATATTTGTCTTGAAATTTTAAGATCATAGCTTCGTTCATTGATGAGATCTTGATGGATCATTACTTAAGAATCTCATACTGAGATGGAATAGCTATTCAATGCTCTAAGTACAACAAATCTATATTGAATACAGCTTATAATTTCAAAATTCATTCATTTCTTTACAAACAGTTCTACAACTTTCGATAGTTGAGATCATGAGTCAATTGAAGTTAGACCATCATGGAAAACCCGGAAGCACTGTACAGCCGTCTTCTTCCATTGTGGGAGACCCCAGCAGGCCCTTAGATACCCTGGTACGGCTGAGAGTGGGGAGAGTCAGCGCCCTCTCTCTCTCACCCCCTCGAAATGCTCTCACATGGCCACTCACTGCCTTCTCGCGGCATTACTATCGTTTACGAAATCGAGAGAACGGAAAGCGAATGTCCGACACTAACCAGAATAGTAGATAGGGAAGATCCACCAAGTGGAGTTGGGCATCCGAGCAGTATCTCAGCCCTCACGTAAAACGAATGATTTATGTGGTGTTTATCTATTTGGTGCCTCCTTGTACCAATGTTTATGAGTTTAAATAAATAAATAATTAATTAAAAAACTCAGCAGTGCGCATCCACGATCTCGCCTCGCGAGGTTTGAACCAAGGACCTATCGGTCTCGTGCACGAACGCATAACCTCTAGACCACTGACCTGACCGTCATCCAATAGTGTTAATGTCTAACTTCAACTAATCCACAAAATTGAGCGACACATTCACTATTGTCTTCAGTGAGTTACTATCATACTAGAACTTCAAGAAATACCTCTTGAATCCAATCACTAGTGAGCAAATGCTGAACAGTATCAGAAAGGGGTTTTTGTGGATATTATAATCATTTCAATAGTTGAGATCATTAGTCAATCTATAACTTTAAGGAAAATTACAAAAAAATAGTCTCAAAAGATTTGTTATATTATTTTATCAAATATTTTCATAAAATCCATTTATATAAACAAATTATATTTCACTGAATACCTTTCTCGCCTTAGTAACAAATATGACCTTCATAACAATGTGAACAATAATAATAATCACGAAAGATTTGTTACAGTGTTTATTTCGGAACTTTTTGTACGATCGTAGAGTAAAAATTTCATCATACACCTACATACCCGTCTACTGATGTCTATCGCTTAAACTAATATGACTTTCAAAAAATGAAATTGTGTGTGCCAGAAAAATGGAATAAACATTTTTTAAAATTAATCTAACTTATTACTTTTTGTAATGATCAGAATTAGCATTTCTGTGGTTACATAAAATCAGAGAAACTTTTGGACATAGACTTGTATTATTTGTTTAAACATATAAATATTGGTACAAGAAGGCACCAAATATGCATGCGCCACACTTCGTCATTCCATTCGTGTGAGGGCTGTGATACTGCATGGGTGCCCAAATCGAAGCAGGTGATTTTCTTAGGGGACCACACCCGGAGCCATCAACCTAAAGGTCTGATCCACAAGATAGTGGAGCAATATAAGGAGATGCATTACATTTGTAGCCGGTGACCAACGATTGGTTCATATGCCATCTGTTCCCTCAGGATCTTGGAGCCAGCCCATGTGTACCATTGGTTTCGAATGAGGGTTTTCCAACTCTTCTATGTTGACCCACTGTGTCCACCAACCCTGTTAAAGCGTCGGACATTCACTTTTCGTCCTTTCAATTTTGTAAACAACAGTAATGCCGCGGAAATGAAGCGAATAGGACTTGCGTGGCTGTGGCTGTATATACGAAGCCACGTGAGAGCATTTCGAGAGAGAGAGAGAACTGACTCTCCTCACCCTCGGCTGTACCATGTCATTTTGGGGCGTAGATAATTAGGTGTTGATTGATTAGACTAATAAATCACCGGTTCCTATCCAGACTATCACGTGACAACTCAGACGGTACAGTTAAATCCTGTTTAACACGAGAGCCAGATACCACCCAAGGCTTAATCTTAGCAGTACAGCTCAATCCCGTTTCGCACGAGAGTCGGGGAAATGAAAATTCTGCAAATTCTTATAATTAAAACCAATGATTCTTAAGAAAAGTTAGATGGCTGAAATTATTCTATAAAAATCCACACTAGAACGTAGCTCAAATTTCGTATTAGCTTTTACTTGACAATACAAAGTTTTCATAACCTAAAAATAACAATACTTTTCACAAAGGTTCGGTCTCATATCATTATTCAAAAGTGAAATCAGTTGGTGATATTAACTCTCTTATTTCTATCTCTAACAACTGCGATAATTAGACCAAGTTTGTTGAGATCACGTACAAATCTAAGTTTGATAACCACCAAGAACCTGGAAATACTGCACAGCTATTCGGTCTCCGTATGGGACCCTTGGACAGTACGCATCCAAGACCCCACCACCATCATATAAAACTTGTAACCCCGGGGTTTGTAAAGACTTTTGGATTTTATGATCTACATAATGAACTGACCTTAAATAACCTAAGCATTGGAGTTAGAAATATTAACCATTAGATACCGACTGATTGTTTTAAAAGTTAAACGATCGACATGAGGTCTCAAATATCCTATGTTCAATGTCAGATGTTCTTGTTACTAGGTTCTAATCTACAATGAAACAACTGTTTAATAGTTCTTGATTTGCAATGATTACCTAACTAAGATCAATCAATAATGTAAACTGGGAAATCCTTTTCATCTAAGATTTAATCATTGACAACATGATAGATATGGTACAGTTTTCAATTCAATTCATAATAAAAGAATATGAAAAGATGTCATGATAAATTTATTAAAATATTAGTTATCAACAATTCAATGGTCTAGTGGTTAAGCGCTTGCGTGCGAGACTAATGAGATCCTGGATTCAGATCTCGCGAGGTGAGATCGTGGATGCACACTGCTGAGGAATCTCACAATCGAACGAAATGGTTGTCCAATGCTTCCAGGTTTTCGATGGTCATCTAGCTTCAGTTGATTCATGATCTCAACCATTAAAATTACTATAATATCCGCAAAACCTCTTCTAATACTAATTCAAAAAAAATTTATTCAATTTTTAATAATCTACGAATATCCGGTTTACATACCCTTCGGTAGTCTTTATAACCTAAGTAAATGGGTATCTATCGGCTTATATGTCTGATGGAATTATCTGTTGGTCTCTAAGCTTTTTTTAAAGATTTAGTTAGTTAGATAGGGAATGAACTAATCAGATCTTTAGAAAAAAACTCAGAGATCAACAGATGATTCCATCAGACATATATAAAATCTATGCATAATTCTGGACTCGAATCCTGAGGGGCGGAATCGTAAATGCGTACTGCTGAAAAGTTTTTGTGATATCCCAATAAGTATAATGAATAATAACTTTTGGGATCCATTTATGGACCAATACTATGCCTATATTTTTTATTGTATTATTGTTAAATAACTAAACTATTCATTGTCATGTCCCTCTTATGATGAGACATATTTTGATTTATGAACTGTTATGCAACGATTTTCCATTCTTGAATTATTCCCTGTCTATTAATCAATGCATCCCACATTCACAGCCACATTTGGCTAAATCTTTTACAAATCTTTTTTTTCTATTTTATGATGTGATGTGGTCTGTTTGATTGGTATATAAACCCCGTATGTTTGAAATACATAACTCATATTGCAGAGGCTGAGATTGATGTTCTGGTTTTGCTAGTCAAGGAGCAGGACCAATCAGAACTCTAGACTGTACGTACGGGTTTTACACATCATTGATCCAATCGATAATTCACTTCTTCTCTAATTGGCAGTATCATTACATTAACAGGGCATACAGGTCACAAGTTATAACAGTTTTATACTAGGACCAAATGACTATTCAATGCTTTCAAGTTTTCTATGATGATCTAATTTCAATTGATTCATGAACCGAACTATTTAAAATAATTTTTTGATTACATAATCTATTCAAAAATGTTCAGACACTGTTGATTTTTCTTTAAAGAAATCTTTCTTTATGTTGAAATAGTACAGTGATTAGATTAGAATAATATTAACAATATAAATTGTAATATTGTACATACACTATTACATAATCATTTATATATGAACATTACTGATTTCAATTACATCAATGTATTTACATATGTCTTATTATTATTATTATTGTGAATAGTATTGACATACATAGAATGATTCTATTCAAAGGGTTCTTTATATTCAATGAATTGAAAAGTTCTATCAATCATTTGAATAGATAAATATTCTTATAATAGTGATTCAGTGTTAAGATTGATTTGTTTTAGAGTTCTATTGAAATATATCATAAGAGTCAACTTCATCAAATATAAGAAAGTATTTACAATGATCAATAATGGGAAAATGTTTATACTTGATTATAGTTCAATAATGAGATCATTTTGATACTGATTATATTGATTTTAAAATAGGATCTCAACAATAAAATGATAAAATCTTAAGTGATAAACTAACTTAATAAATAGAATGAAATAACACAGGTTGAAATCATGAGTCGATTGAAGCTAGACCACCATGGAAAACGTAGAAGCACTGGACGGCCGTTTCGTCTTAGTATGAGACGCCTCAGCAGCGCGCACCCATGATCCCGCACCACGAGGGGTCCGAACCCAGGACCTACTGGTTTCGCGCGCGACCACTTAACCACTAGACCACTGAGCCGGCACCCAATAATGTTACAACTTATTGAAGATGCTGATAAAATGCAGTCGTTTAGGTAGTACTGACCAATAGTGCCAGAATGTTTGAGATGCAAGCTGTTGCCTCAGGACTGGCCTGAATCAACACCTGAATTAAGGATAGAGAGTGAAGTAGTCGAATGCATCGATAACTTCACTTATCTTGGAAGTCTGATCAGTCCTAATGGGTAGATGTCTTACGAAATCACTGCATGGATTCACAAAGCTTGTTTGGCTTTCGCCAACTTACGTCACCTATGGCGAAGGTGAGATATCCATCTATCAATAAAAGGACTAGTATACTGAGTAGAACTTCGTTCTGTTTTACTTTATGGCTGCGAAACAAAGACATTAAGAGTAGGAGATACTCGTAAATTACCAGTAGTGCTTACATCTGTTGGGATCATCAGGTAAGTAATAGTGAGGTTAGACACAGAGTATTAAGGAATGATGGTAAATCAGTTGATGAGGTTGTGAATCTTCATCGACTGAACATCGATTACCATGACGCGTAATGTTGACTAGTGTTGGGGATGGTAAGAAGAAAGTTAGGGTCGACCAAACCAAAACAAGGCATCAGTGCTTGAAGTCACTAACTTCTAGTCTGAGGCATGTTGGTTGATGCAGACTACATAGTTGGGGTCCGTGTGACTGTCGTGACCAATGGTTGGCGATTCTGGGTGATATGGCTCAGAATCGATCACAATGATGTGGATGTATACACTATTTGTCTTCCATTAAACCGTCAGATTAAAATTAATTCATACCTTTCTTACTACGAACTAATTCTTTCTTCCTGTAATATGTCCTTATACAAAATGTTTCTTTTGTGTATTACCACCACTGAATTAACTACTTCTATGGATTTGGTGTTTATCTTGTTGTGCTAATGAGGTGTAGCAACTGGGACTGATGCATATATGTACATGGTCCTACATCGTAGCTGACTGACTGATAATGATATTTCTTCAATATCAAGATCGGATAACTGATAATGTGCATTATTGAAGACAAAATTATCAGCTACTTATCAAGAAATTTCATACTTTTCAATAAATAAATATTGAATAATAACAATTGAACACTGGATTTTGGAAAATCTATTTCTTCTCATTAATCAATACTTACCTAATTCACCTTGACGTACATCAAATCGTGATGCACCGCCAGTAATAAATTCAGGATTTGGACATATTTCCTGAAGAAGAAGAATAATAATAAGAAGAATGGTATTCTCTGATGAACTGTTGAAAAGTGAATAATATATCTACATCCTCAATAATTTTGTATCATAAACCGATTTTAGTTAAAGAACCAATTAAAATTAGGAAACATTAGACAAATGTTTCGTCTTAGTTTAGTGCTCATCAAGTGATCACCTATGAATTCAACAATAATCATACACAGATCTTCTAGCGTTTCTTGTGAGTTTTCATCCTTCATACCGTTAAGTTGACATCAAATAATCTACTTTTCTAACTACTATCTGTTCATGATATTGCGTGATGTAAGATGATGTTTGTGATAGCGTTGTCAGCTATCTTGAAGATACGGATGATAGATACTACCGAGATAGAATGAAATAAGAATTCTAGTGATCTTTTTAGGCCAATGTTTTGTTGTGGCGCTCTAATCACTTTAATGTATTGGAAGGAGAAACTATAAAGCTCATACAATTTCTAGTAAATTCTGAAAACATTTTATCAACTATATGAATTGTTAAACTTCAGTCAATTGAACCTAGACCATCAAGGAAAACGTGGAAACACTGTTGAACAAGATTTCATGTATCTAACCATACTTATAACATAATGAAAACTGAAGTAAAATTAAGAAAATTTCAAATTTGACATTTAATATATATATATATACAAAAGTCTAATGTAATAATAGATGTTAAGTTAGTTAAAGTAGTCGTATATGAAACTATATCTGTACTAAGTTTTGTACTAAACTGAACTCGTCAACAAAGTTTACTTACAAGCATAAGCTAGTCGATAATTGAATTGGTGTTATTCAACTCTTTATTCTAAGGTGTTCCCACCAAATCATTTATAAATAAAGAGGATTAGAATGACACACAATTTAGAAGAAAAAGAAGGAGAATTTTATAGATCCTATTCACGAAGTCTATATGTTTATTAATCATCTAAACCAATAATCGTGAACCGATTAGTGTCAGACCATCATTGAAAACCTGAAAGCATTGAATGGCCGTTTCGTCCTATCGTGGAACGCTTCAGCAGTGTGCATCCATGATCGCGCTTGTAGGATTCGAGCACAGGCCCTTCAGTCTCGTGCGTGAATGCTTAACTTCTAGATCTTTGAGTCGGCATCCAACGGTGTTAAGGTCTAAATTCAACTAATCTACAAAATTGCTCGACCATCTTCCATTGTACTGAGATAGTTACCTATCTCTACCCGACACGGACATAAATATAAACAGTTTTACACTTAGTTAATATCGTATAAAATTTTCTCATTAGTTCATATAAATTTTATCATTCATAAACGGTTTGCGTATGTGTGCAACACTCAATAAAATCGTTAATTTAATCAATATTATCGTTATCACTATAAAACTTCCATGTATTAAGAATAATATTATGCTCACTAGTGACTGGCTTCAAAAGATATATCCTGGAGTTCTAGTGAGAAGCAGTGACCAGTGGAGTTCAACCGGGTCAGTTGTGAAGTAGTAACTCACTGATAACAATGATGGATGTGTCGTTCACTTTCGTGGATTAGTTGAAGTTAGACATTAACATCGTTAGGTACCGGCTCAGTGGTCTGGTTGGTTAGGCGTCTGGCGCGAGACTGGTAGGTCCTGGGTTCGAGTCCCGCGGGGCGGGATCGTGGGTGCGCATTGCTGAGGAGTCCCACAATAGGACGAAAAGGCCGTTCAGTGCTCCCAGGTTTTCCATGGTGGTCTAGCTTCAATTGACTCATAATCTCAACTGTTGAAATAATTTCCTTATTGATAAATATTAGTTGCTAGGTGAATTTTACATCCTGAACATATCAATTAAATAATGCCCTAAATTCTAAGTTTTAACTCAATTATCATTTATGCAGATCTATTTTATATGTTCAATCAATGATGGAAAGGATTTAAATATTTGGTTAATTCGTTGTTCTTATCATTAAATTACCATAAAAATGTAGAACGGAAATCATCTAGCGTTAGGTGGTTGAGGACAATCAACAGAAAATCTTGGACGTTGGAAGAGATGGTGCATATTGTAGAGTTCAAGTCTGACTTACAGCCAGTGTTGTTACTGTTTTCTTAACCGAACCATAATCAACCATCTGTAGAACTGGGATACTAACATACTAAGTGATCAATAAATATGGAAACTCTTTCTAGACGGCAAATAATGTTAAAGATAAGTACCTGTTTACTTTATTATAATATGATTTTCATGTCGATACTATCACTTTTGCCGGTCATGCTTGGATTCAGTTGTTATGCTGATCTCTCTACGAAAGCTTTTAAGTAACAAGACTTCGACTACTGTGAGATCAGCCCCTAGACTTTAAGTCACATTTATTTGTTTATTTATTTTAACACATAAACATTAGTACAAGGAGGCACCAAACAGATATGCGCCACATAAATCATTCGATTTATGCGAGCGCTGGGATACTGCCCGAGTGCCCAAACCGAAACAGGTGGTTTTCTTAGAAGACCACACCCCGAACCTTCGACCTAAAGGTCTGACCCACAAGACAGTGGAACATACGCCACATGTTCCCTCGTGATCCTGAAACCACCCCATGTGTACCATTGGTTTCGAATGAGGGTTTTCCTATTCTTCTAGGTTGACCCTCCGTGTCCACCAACCCGGTTAAAGCGTCGGAGACTCACTTTTCGTCCTCTCAATTTCATAGACAACAGTACGCCACGAGAAGGCAGTGAGTAGGACTTGTGTGGCAGTGGCTGTATACACGTGGCCATGTGAGAGCATTTTGAGAAGGAGAGTTGACTCTCCGCACTCTCGGCCGTACCAGGGCATTTAGAGGCCTAAGTCACAACTCTTAAAAGCGTTTCAAGAAAATTCAAGAAGTAACGTCAACACTTTCTTTAGTTTCCCATAAGCACAACAGGTTTAAATCGTTAATCGAAAATTATTGCACAATGTTTTCAAATCTTAAAACAACATGATACTCCATTTGTACACTATGCAAACTGTTTAAGTTACCAAGTCAAATGTATACATTTCAATCTACCCATATAATGCATAATTGGCTTGCATAATTTTATCCACCTTCGAAATGTTTTAATTTTGGACATATCGATTAGAAACATGGACATTAAGGTGAAGTAAACACTACTACCATCTGTAAATTAATTCAATGTATAATATTGAAAAAAGTACATCATCATATGACACAAAAAACAACTAATTATGATATTCAATTATTCGACTAATATTGACGGATCAATATATAGGTCATGTTTACGGATCTATCAATATGTAGTTAGGTTTCGTACTCTCAATGTGTACACTTTTGGATCTACCCACAAAAGAATGTCGCTCATTATGAACAAATGATTGACATCGAAAATAGATGACAGTGATCTAATGGTTAAGCGATCACGCGCGAGACTGAGGAGGTCCTTGGTTCGAATCTCGCGAGGTGGGATCGTGGATGCGCACTGCTAAGGAGTCCCGAAGTAGAATGAAACGGCCGTCCAGGTCTAGCTTCAATTGACTCATGATCTCAACTATTAAGAGGACATTTAGTCAATTTATTTAAGAAATTTTGTCGATTAAGTTAATTATAATTAATGACAACTAGAACTATCGAATAAACAAAATATAAAACATAGTTGGATTGGTATTCGGAGCACAGTTTGAAACTCCGATATTGAGCTGTTTGATATTCATTGACAAGAATTATTTGAAACTTGAAGAACAAAAATCAATACTTCATTCCGTGGATTTGTTGAGGTTAGACAATAACACCATTAGATGAGAGCAGGATCATGGATACGCGCAGCTGAGGAGTTCCATACTAGGAGAAAACGGTCATTCAGTGCTTCCAGGTTTTTAATGGTGGCCTAATATCAATCGATCCATGATCTCAATCAAAATCTTAACAATCTTCATATATATAATTGTTTGCTGGGAGGTTTAATCAATGCTATACTGGTTAATTGACATAAAATTTAGTATCATCACTGAACAAAGTGATGTAAAGTTGTGCTGCTTTCCTTCCTAAAATAAAAATACACTTTATAAGAGGAGGAGAAGTAAAGATAAACTCCCTGAAGTATATCGATCTCATATGCTCTACATTTAGAGATCGACCTGTGACTATCTCACCAGATAGGTTAATTTCTTCATAGAAAAATAATTGGTAGATAAACGAATATTGTACCTAAGAATTCTTCAGTTCAAATAAATTGTGAGATGCAGAGTTTCATTTTACCACAGCCTCCTTTCACTTAATCCTCAACGAAGCTTGATGTGGTTTTCAAGTTATTTTTGGAAATGGAAGGCAAGTGAGTTCATTTAAGACACCATTGTGTTAAAAAACAATTGTCTAAATCCTTGAGATAACTGTTTAACATCAAGACTGATTTGAGTTACAGAACCAAACCAAAACGTGGTATCAATCCACAAAGTCACCAACTTCTAGTCTGATTCATGTTAGTAGATATAAACTACTTGGTTGGGGTTCACGTGACCAGCGTAACCAATCGTTGGAGACTCTGGATGACATGGCTCAGAATCGATCACAATGGCGTGGGTATATACACTCCCCTGTCTTCCCTCGAGCTGTGAGATCGAAGTTACTTTATATCTCTCTTTCCACGAACTAATTCTTTATTACTGTATTATATGCTTATATGAAATCCTTTGTATATTACTACCATCAAAGTAACTAATTCTATGAATTCGGTGTTCATCCTACTGTGCTAATGAGTGAGATGTGTCAACTTGGACCGATACATATATGTGCCTAGTCCTACGTTTTAGCTGACTGACTGACTGGTAGAACCATTGAAAATTTAGAAGTTCCAGATATCTGCTTTATCCTAGTACGAAATGTCTCAGAAACGCACATCAACGAGGTCATTAATAGTTTACAGCTTCTAGTGATATGTTTTGAAAAGGATTTCACAGGCATATGTGACTTGATGGTGTATACTTATTTTCTTAGTTTCTTTTATTTGTCAAGTTGCTGTTTTAAATATATACTCAAACTAATAATTATACGACATGGAATGCAAGATGTACGACTGAAAACCACCTGCAAAACTTAGGATTTATTTGACAGAACATCTGAGACTTAGCCAATTATTTATTTGTTTAAACACATAAACATTGGTAAAAGGAGGCACCAAACAGATATACACCACATAAATCATTCGATTTATGTGAGGTCTGGGATACTGCTCCCTTGACCAAACTGAGGCGAATGGTTTTCTTAAGGAGTCACACCTCAAACCTTTGACCTAAAGGTCTGATCCAATAGGCAGTAAAGCAATGTCAGGAGATCCAGTCCCATGGTAGCCGGTCACCAACAATAGGTTCATGCGCAATTTGTTCCCTCAGTATCCTGGAGCCAGCCCATGTGTATCATTGGTTTGGAGTCGGGGTTTTCCAACCCTAAACACAAACCTGATGGCAATATATTTGATAAACAAACTAATCAGATTATTGTGTAAAACACTGTAAAGTACTGTGTTTATTACAGTTGATGAGATGATGATGGAGAAGATTTATAGTTCAGGTGAATCATTCAGAAGACCATTCAAAAGCTTCATGACCAAAGGCTTCATCCAACTCAGAGAACAAAACTCCATCAAAATTACAGCTAATGTCAGTTCATGATGAAAATCCTAATCTGAAATCCTTAATCCTAATCCTAACCAAGAATATTGTGCAAACTCTTACAAATCTACTTGGATTGTTATTAGAATTTGAGGACACGCATAATTTATGTCCGTCCATAAGGACGAATTTCTATTCTATGACATTTTCTCTCATAGACAGCATAATCTGTAGAAAGCTTTAACAGATTCTTAAAAGATGTAAAATCTAATTACGTTTTGAGCAGAGATAGATAGTGGGTAGCAATGGAATCCAGTTTGACGCGCGTTTCGTCCTATTTGCGACTGGTCAGCTGGATGTACCTGCATCTCAGAGTTGATGTTTACTCTGGGACTAGAACCGAGTACCGTTGCATGATCCACTTATCTACTGAGCCCTGATAGCCACTTGCTTGCGCAATGGGGTGAAGTTTAAATTCACTTGATATTGTTCACTTGAATTTTACAATTAATGTTTTGGAACTGCGATTGATCAGTTTCTTATTGACATATGTGCATCCTGCACGAACTGCCTCGATATTGCCTTAAGTCATAAGCTTTATCAGCAAAGATGGATAGTGGCTAGCAATGAAATCCAGTTTGACTCGTCAGCTGGATGTACCTGCATCTCAGAGTTGATGTACACTCTGAGACTCGAACTCAGTACCGTTCACTTCAATAAGAGACTGATCAATTGAAATCCAAAACATCAATGGGAAGATTCAAATAAATAATACCAAGTAAATCTAATTACGTTTTGTTTTATTTTTTTACAAGTTATTTATCTATAAAGATTGTTTCTTGATTCACTAACAACTTGCTCAACATTTTCATTGATCATTTTGAGCTCGATCCTGCACTATACTCTTAACATTATCATAAAATAACCGGAATAAATCACTTAAATTCCAAACAGATCAATAATTTACGGTAAATATTTCCGTCTATATTGTTCTCTCTTTTCTCTCTCTTTATCTCTCATTTACCATCTATTCTAGAAAGCTGTGCACATTTATTAAATACAACTTGCATTACAACAAACAAACTATACATGTATAAACATGAATATATAAACTTGGACAAATCAGAGGCTTGTCCAAAACTAGAACTGTTCTATTCAATAGAAATGTTTCTCTCATTTTATTCTACTATAATTATTATCACTATCATTATTATTATTATTAGTATTAGTTTTAGTATTCTTATTACTTAGATATAGTAGCAACACTCAATTGATATATGGGAATGGAATGTAACTATACAATGTTTCCTTCATTTATAATAATCATTTTAAAATCTACCCCTCTTATCTAAGTGATTATTTAAATCATAAAAGTAAAAATGAAAATTTTTCAATCAGGGTAATATATAATAATTTTAGATAATCAATTTATTGATCTATCCAATGAAAAATCATTAATCTATTAAGTTGAAAAGAGATGATCAATAATAGATAAACCATTGACTGATTTTTTGTATTGATTGATTACTGAATAGTGATTAATATTATGTTTGTTGTTGTTGTTGTTGATTGGAGTTTATTCGTCAAGTTCCAATTAGGAACAAAAGTCCAAGTAACTCAGCACCTTCTTTACTATGCTTTATCAGTCAGTCAGTCAGTCAGTCAGTAACAACGTAGAACTTCATACGTATATACGTACATCAGTTCAAGTTGCCATATCACATAAGCACAGAGAAACAATTATCGATTCAAATCACATAGTTGTAGAGGTAGTAAGAGTAGAAGCAGTAATAGGAAAGATTGGGTTTTGAAGATGTTATTCAAGGAGTATAATCCAGTGAAATAAATCTGGAAAGAGGAAAAAAGGGACATGAAGAACTCAAAAGACTAAAATTTGGGAGAACACAAAGAGTGGATGTACCTGCACCATTGCAAATGATTTTGAGCCATGTCATTCAAGGTCTCTGACCATCGGTTGCTATCATCTCGTGTATCCTAACCAGATGGTCTACACCTACCACTTGTCATTGACTTCATGGATGTGTGCCATGTTTTGGTCTGGCCGCCCCTAGCGTTCTTCCAACCCACTCTTACACCATAAAACATCGCACGTCTGGGCAGTCTGTGGTTGGGCATACGTAGCACATATCCCAGCCAGATGAACTGATGAAGCTACACAACTTCATCAATTTATTCGCCATCCTTACCTAATACCCGTTTCCTAACGACTGCATTGCTTACTCGGTGGTTCGAGGATATACGAGCAATACTTCGAAGACACAGTCAGTAGGATACTCTAGACCTAGGTTTTTTCTGCTAGTCAGTACTTGTCAACAAGTTTTACATGATCAGGAAGTACTTGTTTGATGAAATTCGATTAGCACCACTGAATAAACAAATATACCAGTAGCCACCACTCAGTGAAATATTTATGTACATATATCAGCCTTAAATGAGGTCAGCCACGGCAAAAATTGCAGAGTTAGTGCCTCAGGCTGCGAACCGAGGTGGTATGTATTCGGATATCAAAGGGATCATCAGTTTCGTAAAGACCGTATGCACGTCTTTTCTACAAGTTCCAGCTAGCACACGGACTCCAACCAAGAAGTCTGCACCTACCTACATGATCCAGGTCAACAACTTAAGTTTTCATTAACTGAAAATTATAGTCCTTTATAATAGGAAAGGGTAGAAAATGAGAGTTGAAATCAAACTCATTATGCCATTTATACGACTTAGAAACTTCGTTATCCTCTTTTCGGAACTCTGGACACACATAATATTCAACTTGGACCTGTTTAAAGATAACACTGTTGTGTTTCAGTGCTCAAGTAGGAACTTCTGCAATATTATGAAGATTTAAAAACGTATGGACCACCGTTCAGTGTTTTTTTCAACTTTTTACATTAAAATGAGCTCTCGTAGCTTTTAAATGGAACTAATAGACCTTCAAGCTGATGACATCTTGAATGAAGCCTTAAAACATGCAACTTCGGTTTCACTTCCTTAATCCAATGATCAATTATCATTACTATAAAATAACTTTAACTAGTCGAAATTCAGACGTCAGTTCACAAATATCAGGGGTGAATTGACAAGGTTAGAACTTATGATTACTTTAGCAAATATTTTTTCCTCTCTTACAAATGATACCTGTCAGTATATGAATTAAAATATTTTGACATTTTGTGAACAAAGCCTTGTGTGATATCACATCTCCATTCATGGACTCTTTTAATGAAAACACATTTTCCTGCCTCTGTGACCAGGATCTTAGGTGATGGAACCTAGCCTAAAACTCCATCAGTAATTTTATTAGGGAGTTACAATTGTAAAACAGTAATATGTTATTCCTTTTAACACTCCTATTTGGTATTAAAAGGAACTGATAATAGATGTTCTGAGAAATTATGAACTTCAAATAGATTTAAACTTATAGAAGTTGACAGAACTGCTAAAATCTAGAAAAACGATGCCTCAGATGTATATCTAGGCTTGTTACGCTTAGGTAAGAACAAAATAATAACAAACACATCCAGCATAACAGCATTGAATTTAAAGATAGACGCTAGTAATGATTATTACAACTCAAAGTCAACCAATACAGTTTCAAATGACTTTGAAATTTAATGCTTATTCTACTGCTTTTAGAGATTTATCAAGTACATTTCATAGGCAGCACTATTGTAACTTATGTGATAGCTTTGTCTAACAATGCTTTTGTTTTGTACCACTCTAGTCACCTGAAAAATAAGTTTATTCTATGAATTAATAATGAGCTTAAATGTCATTACTGACCAAAGCATATCGAGCAAAAATATGGAATAAACTAACAGGATAGATGATTCAATAATACTATGCAGTGCTTTTTGTACAAAATGTTTAAATAAAAATTAGAAGTAAATCTTCGATCGCGGTTTCATTTATACTGATACTTATCGGCAAGTTGAATTCTTTGATGGCATATACTTTACCATTTATTTGTTACGCGTCAATCATAATAGTATTTAGTGGATGAATACTGAATGTAGCCATTTTGCGGATAAGTGAACGTAAATGAATAGAAAAATAGACACGAGTCTTTAAATGAGTGAATGCAACATAACCAAATTTAACTGATTATAGAAATAAAAAGCTGCAACTCACATGTGGACGTAACCATTCAATTTGTTTTGGCGGTCTTTGACTGAAGTATAAACTTTTATCATTAGGTGGAAACTCCGGATCCTCGAATAATTTACCACTTTGAAGCAGCTGTTTTTTTAACTGGTCATACGATAATGATGCGGAGGATACATCACCACCTCTTGTGGCTGGTATAGGCTTGTTTGCCGTATTACCATAATCCGGCGGTACAACCACTTTGTTATCACGTGCATCACGAAGTGTTGCACGTGGATCTTTGAAACGGCCAAGATTGATTGTACCACCTGAACTGATCGTTATACCATAACGTCCAATCAACGGTGCATTCATGCCCTTGATATAAAGGGTGAAGAAAAGAAAATTATTCACTTAATTTGTCCTATAATTGCACAGTTTAATTTAATGTTAACTCATCTATTAAACATAAGTTTATCAACTCATTTTTGTGTATAAATACTAGTGATATTAATCGGTTGTCCATGAGCCAAAGTAGGCGGGGTGGGGTATAAACTGAAAATACGACTACTAAGAGTCAAGTGGACTAACCACTAAGAGTGAGGGTAATTCATAATGCGATTATCAGAAGGTTGCTTAAAAATGCATTTTAGCATCTTTTATCTTAACAATTAAATATACCAATATTTATTTCAACATAATCATCACGAGGACTTGATCACTTCACATATTGTTTTCGGACATTAAATCTTTGTTTTGCTTTCTATGCTAAGATAATCACATTATAGGAATTCATAAAAAAAGTGTTAGTCAATATGGTAGAAACCTCTTTCGTATCATTGAGGTTTGAGAGAGCAACTTAGTAATTTTGGAAGAGATTCAGATGCAATTCGAAAGACCAATAGGATGAAGCATGCTCAACCTCCCTCTAAGTAACCGAACAAATTAGTTGAAGCAATTTCGTAAAGGCTTCTCGTTTATAGACTATTTTATTCCGCTTGACGCAAGTAAAATTAAATATCTCAAACGATAGAACCAATCCTAATACAGTCATGTACAACTCAAATAACTCAGAATCCTAATAATTTTATAACTATTGTCTTAAGTAACCTTACTTCAAATTCTTGAATAAAGATTCATTTTAGCAGGAATGCAAATATCTCTTATTTACCAAAGGTTTAACAACAAGTGTTTTTACCCTAGATTAAAAAATATTACCGTGTTGCCTCAAATTTTAAGACTTTACTCCACATAGAAATCTATCATTTTCCTAATTTTTCATGAAGAGTTCACTCTTCCTGACAAACCTCGTCTTTTACGAATAATAGCTAATACTCAGTGAAAACACACCAACCCCAGAACTAAAGATGAGGGATAACTAAGACCAAAACAGTATCGTATTGGTCATTTGACAGTTATTTCACTGACAAAAAATTGACTAGGGTGAAACATAATGATTTTTAATTCAGAGTTCAAAACTAAAAAAGTTAAAATAAGTAACATTCATCGCATCACAAATAGGTTTGACCATGAGTTGGTATATCATTTAGATGGCAAAATACTAAAAAAAAACAGAATGGATGTTTCATTTTATTTTGAAATTTCTCTAACGTGAACTCTGATGGCTTAATACAAGATAGAGCCTAACAGTTGGTGTTCAGATATTTAATATCGAATGACATAAACCCACTTATTGAGATTAAAGATTTAAAGCTAGATGACCATTCTAATTTTCAAAGAGATCCCTACTATTTGCTTGAATTTTCTCATCTCAAATTCTTCCAAAATGCTAGAGATTGACGAGAAAGAACTAGACGCATTAGTTCTTTCCGAAACAAAGCAATATCTTAAATGCTAATGAATTCGAAATACTGTTATGTCTGTGGAGACAGGTAACGTGATCTTATTTTGTTGGTAACTTTTGTTATTATTCGCACCTTCATAGTTCCATATAACTTGTGCATCGTACCTAGGACTTTTGGTTTCAATTAGTCCATTTGAAGGAAAATTAAAGGCAAACACAAGCTTACTAGAAGAGAATTATTATGAGGTGTGGCTCTACTACCATCTAAGCACAGCTCCGAAAATATCAGTCTGATGATTTTGTGCATCAAATCACTAGTGGACAGCGATTCCTCCCCAACTTTATAAGGTGCGCTGTGACATCTCATTATCAATGAGGTTTTCATAACATTTATGATCAACGACCTGCAGCTTAAACATATTCATGAATATCCACATATAAAAAACGTAACCATCAGAAACAAGGGTTACCAAGAATCGCAAAATTACGACTTAGATGAAAAATTAATTTTCATATACGACCTATAAATTGTAACCAAACGACATATATACATTAACACACCATACTAGCATCTGTAGGCACTTACGATAAAGGCACCCTTTGATCCACCATCATCAAACACTTTCGTCTCAATCGATTTCTTTATAAAGGTTGTAGCGCTAGATACATAGTTGTTTAAAGCAGGAGTGGAAAACAACGACATCTTGTTGACAAGTTCAAAGAAAGTATATTTTACGCGCGGTTATAGTACGAACTGATATGTTCAAGTAAAACGAAGAGTGCGATGACTTCATTTTAAGATAAAAAATAGAGAAACTGGAGAACTAATAATCTTAAGATTATTTATAGCATGCTAGTGACAAATAATGCACTAAACAATAACCATCTATTCTAATGGAAATTTACAAATGGACTTTAACACCCTAAATACATGTATGCGTTACAGATCACCACCTATTGTTCCCGTGGACTTTAAGTGTTATTGCTATATTCTTAAAACACTAAACATAAGTGGCCACGTTATTTTGCCCTCTGAGATCCTAATTTTGACGGTCGAAACACCCGTTAGAACTTTTTCAGTGGCGAATTACAGAACTAAATAGTGGGATCACATCATTTTCACTGAAACGATTTACTGACGAATAACCGCTTTAGTACCACTTCAGTACGAGAACCGATAATGAGCACATACTGGGCGTGAAGTTCAAAACTAAAATCCTGTGACAGTTATTATTGTTAATATATATACACCATTGATGTTAACGATTGGTAAGTATACAATTAATTATACAGTGTGAACTATGTTTAAAAGATTTTGAAGATGCCGCAGATATTTAGAGTTTGACAACACTTTAACCGGTAACTCCTTCTACCATGAATCGTACCCACCAAGTGAAATCAAAAGACAGAAGGAAAGACGTTCGAAGATATATTTGATAGGCTATCAATATATCGACAATCGACTTATCTAATCTGACTAGCGATTGCAGGGGATGTTAAGCACGGTGTTCTAAATCGTGATCTGGCGCGGATCCATGACCGAGCACCTTCAGCTACGTGAATCCATTAAAACTAATGTGGTGATCATCCACTTTCGAAAACTTACAGAGCTAGTTATTCTGGGGATTTAATTACCGCTACAGACCACTCCCTCCCTAGTGGGGTAGTGATGACCCTAAGACGTGGCCAGCCATAAGTTTATCGTGGTGAACACTCTTCTGATAGCTTGCCATGTTCAGAAGCGTCTGATCGTCTCTCCTTACTATAAGGTACCATGTAGTACAATATAGAAATAAAGAAACAAGGTAAAATGAAAATTTTTGTTCATCGTAAACTTCATCGTTCTGTCTTTTCCAGCCGTCTCGGAAAAAAAGATGTGTGAGTGCATGTCGAATTACACAAGTACGTGCGTAATGTCACAAAGCGATTGGAAAAAAGGAAAACTCATGCACATGCGATAGCATTAAAAAACGATTTTCACAGAAACCTTACTCTTCTTCCAGAACGCGTTGTTTTAATTTTTTCAGGTACTATCGAAGTATCATCGTCCGTGTTGGCTGTCAGATGAGGTATTATAAGTGTAGGAGCCGTGTCGTTCGATTGTACCGAAGGGATATCGACGTGGATAGGATTTCATCCTAGATACGCTGCTTTGATGCGGTCGATGCTGACTCTGTAGTCAGTTCCGTTCTTACTGACTATGTAGTACTTGGGTTCGCGTTGAAGAAGATTGAAGGGTCCTTCGTATGTTGATTCGAGAGGTCGTCGATGTGAGTCTCGACGAACGAAAACGTGTGTACTATATCGTAAGTCAGGCTGAACGAAAACATCAGTTGACTGCGGTCGAGTAGAATGAAGGATCCACGAATTCTCCTGGAAGTCGAAGTGCCGTTCCATAAACGAGTTGAGCTGCAGTGTGTCGAATGTCAACTTTCACTGCATTGTGAATACCTAGTAAGACGGGTGGAAGAGCGTTGGTCCACTGTGAAAAGTTTGCAGCTGATAGTGAAGCTTTAAGTTGTCAGTGAAAGCGTTCTACCAACCCGTTTGCTTGTGGGTGGTAGGCAGTCGTTCGGAAGCGAGTGATTCCTAATAGTGTGGCCAGATAACGGAAAAGTCCAATTCGAACTGGCGTCCACTATCTGTAGTGATGGTTGAGGGACAGCCGAGGTTTGCTACGCATCGTCCGACGAAGGCGTGGTCCACCAGTTCAGCAGTAATGTCCTCGATAGATACTGCTTCTGGCCATCGAGTGAAACGGTATGCGCAGGTTAAGAGGTAAGAGTATCCATTTGAATCCAGTTGAGGTCTTACTAAATCCAGATGAAAATGGTCGAAATGAGCATCGGGAGTTTTGAATGAGCCTAAGGGACATTTGTTGTGTCTAATCACCTTAGATTTCTGTCAGCTTACACAAGAGCATGCCCACTCACTCATGTCTTTATTCATACTAGGCCAGGAAATTCGTTCTGCTATAAGCCTGATGGTTGCACGAACACCTGGATGAAAAAGTTTGTGCAACGTATTGAAGATGGTGCATCGATAATGTTTCGGCACGATTGGGCGATCCTTACCTATAGGTGTGTCACATGGTAGGGTTTCCTCACCTGCTCCCATCTGTATAATGCACAGTTTAAGTGTTGTTCAGGATAAATCGTGCTGAAGATCAGTGTCTTCTTTTTGAAGCTGGGCGAGTTTCAGAAGGTCGATACTTTGGAAAGGAAGTTATGCGAGACAAAGCGTCTGCGATTACATTGTTTGCTTCGGAAATGTGCTGAATATCTGAAGTAAACTGCGAAATGTAGTCCAGTTGTCGAGGCTCTCGAGGGGAGTATTTGTCTAAAAATGAATCTAAATAGAAGGTTTGGAGTTCATGATCAGTGAAGAGTGAAATCTCGGCCTTCATTTGAGTGTTGAAAATGCCGTACAGCACAATACATAGGAAGGAGTTTCCTACCGTAAGTGCTGTACTCCGACTCAGTGTCTAGCAACCGTCTCGAGAAAAATGCCAAAGGTTTCAGAAATTGGTTAACCCATTGTTGTAAGACTCCCCCGATTGCTGAGTCCGACGCGTCTACTGCGATACTAGTGTGTGCTTGGGTGTCCTGATGTGCGAGCATGATTTCGTTTACTATAAGTCCCTTAACTGTGGAGGGTGCTTGACGAGCGGTATTGTCCAGACTAATGGATTTCGCATTTCCACGAAATTAGTCAGTTAGGTGTTTCATAAGTGACTCGCATTTCGGTATGAAACGTCTATAGAAACTTACTAGGCCGTCAAATGTGCGTAATTGCTTGATGATGGTAGGTTTTTGTAATCCAGAATGGCCTCCACTTTGCTTCTTAAAGGTCGGATGTCTTACGCATCAATAGTATGTCCTAGGGAAAACAAAAATTTGGTTCCGATTTGGCATTTCTGAATGTTTATGGTAACGCCACGCTTTTGCAGTCGATTGAAAACAAGGTCTAGATGCTGGAGATGATATTATCTGTCTGGACTTTCCATCAAGCAGTCATTAACATACGCGTGTACGAAGTTCAGACCTCGAAAAACGTGATCTATGAACCTTTGGAAAGTTTGGGCAGCGTTTCATAGACCAAGAGGTATTCGCAAAATTTCGTCGAGTCCGAAGGGAGTTGTGATAGAGGTTTTCGGAATATCATCAGTAGCCATAGGGATTTGGTTACATGCTTTAATCAAGTCGATTTTCGAAAAGACAGTTGTACCTTTCAAGGTAGCCAAGTGAGGCAACTGGTAACGATGAGGAATGATTTTTGCATTCAATCGTCGATAGTCACCAGCTGACGCCGATCGTTCTGAAGTCGTGATGTGATGTTTAACATTGATGGTTATTTCGTACCTCAAGGTAACCCTCATGCTATTGACAGAAGAAGCCAGACAAGTAGTGAATAGGTCTTTATTTCGATCTTCGCGCAGTCACAGTGGAGCGTGGGATTATCTGTTCAGACAAACAAAGGCTCTCAACATTCAATATAAGATAATAGGGAATATAACGCTTATAAAAAATAAGGTAGTGAATGAATACTTGGACAATACTGTTTTGGCATATGCTTAGTTGTTTGGCGTCAACTCTTAACCAACCAACCTAAGCTGTTACAGTTACACACGGCAATTTCGGTTGTGATTGGTATATCCTAGAATATTTATCGAGTAATGGTTGATAGAATGGATCTACCGTGTGTCTTAATGTGACAGGAGATAATCTGCAACCGGAAAAACAAGTTATGCAAACAGATAAATTAGTGTTCCCATCTATTAGCCTCCGTTTGCGCGTATCGATGAATAGATTTTGGTGTTGTAGGAGGTCTATAGCAATGATTGGAATAGAATCATCTGTAACAGCAAAGATCCAGTGAATGGGTTTGCGTAAACCCATGTTAAAGTAAACGTACCTTTTACCTTATGTGTCGAATGGCATTCCGTTTGCCGCCTGTAGGTTAAAACCGATTCGTGAAGCCGGTCGACAGAATTCGCTGCAAGAACGCTAACTTCTGCGCCAGTATCGACGAAGTAGCGAACTTTCGTGGTCACATCTGTGACGTATAGCAGACGGCTATGTTTGCCGGCTACGGTTGCCATTAACACGTGCCCGCCGGGAAGTTTCTTCAATTACTTTTCGTGTCGGTCGATGTTGGGTTGAGAAAATTGCAGGATTTTCTGCAATTTCTGGATGACTTTCCATACTGGTTATTACATCAGCACCAGTCAAGGTTATCCGTCTCGTGAAGTGCTTCTTCGCGGGGTTCGTGACCGTTTAGGGTCATTACAAAATCTGATATAACATGTAGACCTATGATATAGTTCCGTAACTTTATTCGGAGTCGCTTGAGGCATTTCTTTGACTGAAAAAACCTCGACGTTAGAAGGTTTTGTGATTTCTATGATGCAGTCAGCAGATGCAATCAGCTCGTCTACGGCGTTGTTTTGAAACAAGATCAGTACAGCTTGCACCTTTTGAGGAAGTTTTGATAAGAATAGTTGTCTGAATAGGGCATCATCGAAAGTTCTTCGGCCGACAACCTCTCTCATTCTTAGCATCATGTCTGTCGCAGAACCGTGTTGCAGGTCGATGTTATTAAGGAGTTGGTTTAACCTTTGTCGATCGGTTAGATCTCCGCGTTTAAGGATAGATGGTTTATATGTTTCGTAGGGTTCAAAGACATCACTAATAAACATGCTAGGTGTTACGTACCTTGTGAATTCGCACGGTAGTGCCTTGACTACTGCGAGGAATTGTGCACGTGTG